ATTTTGAAGCTACTATTTAAACCCAGGAATACATATTATCATAAGGGTTGAAGACAAGCTGCAACCACAAATGAGCTCTAGTGATTCCAAACCATTAAGAACCTACTGGCAAACTGAGTATGTGAGGCAGCCGCCGGTATCACTGTGAGTTCTCTGAATGAACTTCCAAGTACAAGGGTTAGTAAAGCCCAGGTGATAGGAATGTACCCACTGAAGCTCAGATAACCGCAATAGTTATTTGGAACTTAGACCACTAAATCACCCACATTGTTTAGAACTGTCAGCACACGGTGATAGTGAAAAACAGACTGGGTTCTCTTCTTGTTTTTCTCTCATCTGCAGACAATGCCTCCCTCTGTGCCTGCCCCTGGAACAGAGGGCTCCCACTGCCTGGTTCTCAGCACAACTCAATGATGGCCATTCTCAGTTTCCATTACCTTATAGGTTCGGGTTTCCTTTTTCCTCCCCAGCCCCTTTTGGTTTTCTTTTCTGGCTCCTCCTCTCCTACTCAACCTCTAAAAGCTGGAATGCCTCGGGTTCCATCCTAGCCTGACCTTCAAGTTTATTCCTCCTCAAGTTCTCACCATCTCAATATATGGCACCAGCGCCCACCCACTCTTTCAAGCCCACAGTGTATTAATCACCCTTTATTTCTCCCTTCCCACCCTACCTTAAGCCTTCGGGAACCTGTGGGTTCTGGCTCCAGTGTATACCTGGGAACTGGCCGCTGCTGACACCCTACTCCTATTGCTCTCTACTTAGGCAAACTTTCTTTTATGGGCTGATGTCTCCCCACGCCCCAAAAAATCGTATGGTGTGGCTGGGCGTGGTAACTCAACGCCTGTAATCCCAGCACTTTGAGAGGCAGTGGCAGGCGGATCAGGAGATCAAGAGATCGAGACCATCCTGGCCAACACAGTGAAACCCCTTCTCTACTAAAAATACAAAAATTAGCCAGGCGTGGTGGTGGGCGCCTGTAGTCCCAGATACTCAGGAGGCTGAGGCAGGAGAATCGCTTGAACCCAGGAGGCGGAACTTGCAGTGAGCTGAGATCCGGCCACTGCACTCCAGCCTGGCGACAGAGCGAGACTGTCTCAAAGAAAAAAAAAAAAATCATATGGTGAAGTCCTAACCCCCAGCACCTCAGAATGTGACTGTATTTGGAGATATGGGCTTTAAAGAGGTAATGAAGTTAACCTTAGGTCATTAGGGTGGCCCTTAATCCAATATGACTGTTGTCCTTACAAGAAGAGGAGATTAGCACACAGACTCTCATAGGAGGGAGCCCATGTGAAGACACAGGGAGAAGGCGGCCACCCACAAGCCAATGAGAGGCCTGAGAAGGAATCGACCCTGCCAGCACCTTGACCTTGGACTGCCAGCCTCCAGGGCTGCGAAAGAGTGCATTTCAGTTAAGCACCCAGTCTGCCGGATTGTATTAAGGCAGCCAGACCTGACTAAGGCACCCTCCTCACCACTCTTCCCGCTTCCCACTCTGAAAACTGCCTTTTTCCCTCTTGAGAATTGATTGTTCATGCACCTTACTGGCCCCTTATCCCCTTTGAGGTTTTCTATTTCTTTTAGATTTGTAGGACTTTGTCAATTATGAGTTGAAACTGTTTCCTTCTGGTTTTAGGTTCACATTTTCACCTTTTAAAAAATTATGTCTGGGCTGGGCACAGTGGCTCACGCCTGTAATCTCAGTACTTTGAGAGGCTGAGGGGAGCAAATTGTTTGAGGTCAGGTGACGCAGTTCTGCAGTCATTTATACCCATTTTAAATTATATGCAAATCAAGGGGCAGGTTATGCAGACATTTCTAGAAAAAGGGCTGTAACTTCCAGGTCATTGGGTTGTTGCCATGGAAAGAGGTGGTAAATTTGGGTGTCAGCATGGCAGTGGTAAACTGACATGGCACACTGGTGAACATGTTGTATGAAAAGCTGCTTCCACCTCGTCCCTGTTTTAGCTAATCCTCAACTTAGTCCAGTGCCTAAACCCCACCTACAGAGTCCAGTCCCACTTCCTACCTCAGATACAGTCCCTTTTTTGATCCTTTTATTTAAAATCTTTGTATGAACTTAAGTATATCCCTTGCAAATAGCTCAGGATTGAATCGTATTATTTTTTTAAACCTAAAATCATCTGTATTTATTCTATTCTATTCTATTTTATTTTGAGGTGGAGTCTCACTCTGTTGCCCAGGCCGGAGTGCAGTGGCAAGATCTCAGCTCACCACAACCTCCGCCTCCAGGTTCAAGTGATTCTCCTGCCTTAGCCTCCCGAGTAGCTGGGATTACAGATGTGCATCACCATGCCCAGCTACTTTTTGTATTTTTAGTAGACATAGGGTTTCGCTATGTTGACCAGACTGGTCTCAAACTCCTGACCTCAGGTGATCCACCCGCCACTGCCTCCCAAAGTGCCGGGATTACAGGCGTGAGCCACCCCACTCGGACCAACATCTGTCTTTTATCTGGCAAGTTCAATTCATTTACACTTGTTGTGATTACTGACATATTTTTATTACCTTTTACTGGCTCATTTAGTACTTTCTGTTAAGAGTTTCTGTACTTCTGTTTCAAAATTTTCCTGTCTTCTATTGTACTGTTATTCTTATTGCCCTATTATACCCACAAGTGGTTTGGAAGTTATTCATTCAATATCTTTTAGTGTTATTCACTTTTAAAAAGTTGAAGTATGGCATACATACAGAAAATTGTGTCCTCCAGCTTTTTTTTTTTTTTTTTTTTTTGAGACAGTCTCTCACTCTTTTGCCCAGGCTGGAGCATAATGGTGCAATCATGGCTCGCTGCAGCCTTGACCTTCTAGGCTCAAGCAATACTCCCACCTCAGCCTCCCAAGTAGCTGGGACCACAAATGCACACCATCACGCCTGGCTAAATTTTTAAAAAATTATTTTCTGTAGGAACAGTATCTCCCTATGTTCCCCCAGGCTGGTCTTGAACTCTTGGACTCAACTGATTTTTCCACCTTGGCCCCCTAAAGTGCTGGGATTACAGGTGTGAGCCACCACGCCCAGCAGTCCTCCAGCTTTATTTCACTTCTTCAAGATTGCCTTGGCTATTTTTCGTTCTTTGCCTTTCTATATAATTTTAGAATTGCCTTTGTCTGTCCTTCCTTCCTTCCTTCCTCCTTTCCTTCCCTCCTTCCTTCCTTCCTTCCTTCCTTCTTTCTTTCCTTTCTTTCCTTCAATCTCGGCTCACTGCAACCTCTGGCTCTGGGTTCAAGTCATTCTCCCACCTCAGCCTCCCGAGTAGTTGGGATTACAGGCACAAGCCACCACGCCCAGCTAATTTTGTATTTTTAATAGAGTCGGGGTTTCACCATGTTGACCAGTCTGGTCTCGAACTCCTGACCTCAAGTGATCCGCCCACCTCAGCCTCCCAAAGTGCTGGGGTTACAAGTGTGTGAGCCACCGCGCCCGGCCTAGAGTTGCTTTTTAATTTGCACATACACACACGTGCACACATACACAAAATCTGCTGGCATTCTGACTGGGTTTTCATTGACCGTATAAATTTTGGAAGAATGGATGGACATCTTTAACTTTTTTTTTCTTTATAATATTTTACAGTTTTCAGTGTAGGGCAGTGGTTTTTAACTAGGGGTGATTTTGCTCCCATCCTCCCCATCCCCCAGGGCAGTATCTGGAGTCATTTTTGGCTGTTATGCTAGGGGATGGACAGTGCTAATGGAATCTTGTGCATAGAGGCAAGGATGCTTCTGAACATTCCAAAATGTACGATTCCCACAACAAATAATTATAGGCTCAAAATATCAATAGCACCAAGGTAGAGAAGCCATGGTAAAGGGTATTAAACTTTTTCCTTAGAATTCAATATATTGGGCACTAGCATAGATCATTTCTTTTACATTTTTATATTTTTGTATATAGAACTATACTAAATGCTTAAAATATTGAGCTTGTGTCCAGTGACCATGCTAAAATACATTTTTCATTCAAGCAGTTTGTCTATAGGTTCCTTGGATTACTACATACACAATTGTATCACCTGTGAATAAAGATGGCTTTACTACTTTTGTGAACCTGCTCCTTCAGGAAGTGCTATGCGGCCAATAGCTGGCTCTTTTCTGTACAGTTGAAGGGCCTGCTGCAAAATACAATCAAAACGTTATCTACAGGGTACAGACCAGCAAAACAACAACAACAAAACAATCTTAATACTTACTTTGGTTTCCCTAAAAATAGGGAGATTCTGAGGCACAGCTCTACCCAGTATCTCCTGGGAGACAATTTTCTTTTCTATTTTCTTTTCTTTTTTTTTTTTTTTTGAGAGGGGATCACACTCTATTGCCCAGGCAGGTATGCAGTGGTGCGATCTCGGCTCACTGCAACCTCCACCTCCCGGGTTCAAGCGATTCTCGTTCCTCATCCTCCCAAGTAGCTGGGACTACAGGCACCCGCCACTATGCCTGGCTAATTTTTGTATTTTTAGTAGAGATGGGGTTTCACCACATTGGCCAGCCTTGTCTGGAACTCCTGACCTCAAGTGATCTGCCCACCTCTGCCTCCCAAAGTGCTGGGATTACAGGCATGAGCCACCACACCCAGCCTGTAATTTCCAATCTGTAGAAGTCTGTATAACTGCACAAATGTCAGCCAAAGAAAACTGATCTGCCAACCGTAAGCACTGACATGGGGTCAGGGCACATGCCCACTACAGAAAGTAATTTTGGAGTTATTTTTTGAGAGTGTTTTTTTTCTTCTTCTTCCATTTTTAGAGATGGAGTCTCACTATGTTGCCCAGGCTGGTCTTGAACTCCTGGGCTCAGGTGATCCATCCATCTTGGTCTCCCAAAGTGCTGGGATTACAGGTGTGAGCCACTGCACCTGGTCATGAGAATGCATTTCTGAGAGTGTGGTTAGGAGTAGCCTGGTGCAAGAGTGGAAAGGGGTGATCTCTTTCTTCCATCCTATTAAGGGTCATAGCCAATACTCTTACAATAAAAGACAGGTTAACAGGAGAAAAACATAACAAATTTATTAACATGCATGAAGCAGGGGAGCCATATAAAAAATATGAACATACACAGAAAGGCCCAATGGTTGGCACTTAAGTACTCTCTTCACTGGGGAAAGGGAAGTGGGGGGGCTTTAAATGAATGGACTCAAAGACCTGACAGTGGTTTGTAAATGATTCTCTTTGGACGCTGAATGGGACTGAAGGACAAACAATAGCTTGTGGACAAGTCATGAAAGGTGAGGGGTGGTACTGCACTGTGAACCAAGGTTGTCTTATTATGCGGATATAGTCTCCCAGGTTATCTCTTGAAACTGCCCTCAGAAGAAATGATGAAAAGTCTGTCTGGTATGGTATCCTGGCTGTAGCTTCTTTTTTAGTCTTTTTTTGGGTGATTAATCATTCCTGGTTATTTAATGAGACTCATAGGGAGGGGGCTTTAAGACAACTGCATTTATTTTAGAAGAAGTTTTCTCAATCAGGTAAGAGAACTTCCAGAGAAAGAGCTCCTCCTGGTGCTTTAGAAAAAGAAAGGGTCCAAAAAAAAGGAAAGAAAGGGTCAGAGAGAGATAGCATGCTCCTAGTGCTTTAGAAGAGTGTCAAAAAAAAAAAAAAAAAAAAAAAAAAAGAAAAGAAAAGAAAGAAAGAAAAGAAAGGGTCAGAAAGACACCATGGTGGGGGAAAGTCAAGAGAGAGAGAGCTTGCTTTAGTTCAGCTTGTCAAATGCCACATTTGGGGCATTATTTTCTGATCCTCAACACTTGTGTAACAAAGAATTCCAAGCTAGAAGTCAATAAACTAAATTCCCCTGTGAGCTCTGTGGCTTCGGCAAGCTAAGATTCAGGGTCCTCTTCTGTAAAACAGACATTTCCCCTACCCTTCTCGTGGCTCCTTCTGGCCATATTCCAGAGTCCATATTCTGGTTATATTCCAGAGTCTATAACCTTGCATTGCTTCTGTGCAGAAAGAGAAAAGAAGCCACACTTTCCCCAAAGAGTAGCCACAACTACGTAAAAATGAGAAGACATGAAGACACTTCAGAAGAAAGGAGGGTCACCACGCTCACCCACAAGCCTCAGAGCAGGGCTTCGTTTTGATTCTTGGGAGTCAACAGCTCTCAATGATCTCATCTTTCTTCACAGCTCCAGCTCTTCCCTCCTCTTTTCTGATGGCCTAGATTATATTTTCAGCAGATTGAGCCAGATCCTCATGACCACCTCCCGGAGGTCTGCTCAGCCCTGGGCTGTCACTTCGGGCAGGCAGTGAGAACTGCAGTGTAACCCTTTCGTCTCTTTCACAACGTCTGACTGCAGAGCCCACCCCGGTCCCAGGACTCTGGTTACACAACCTTTTGAGGCAGGCCCAAGAGATTCCCAGGTAGCACCCTTCCCCTCACCTCCAAATACCCACTTACCCTTCTATCCACACCTCCTCTCTGCAAACCATCACCGTTCCCATACTAGCAGTGATGGGGGACTCTCCAGCCACCCTCCCAGGCACGGCATCATCTCTTCACTTTGTCAGGCTCTGACTCCTGTCATGAGGCAGCAAAGATTCAAGAGAAGGAAGTCGGCCAGGTGCAGTGGCTCACACCTGTAATCCCAGCACTTTGAGAGGCTAAGGTGGGAGGGTCTCTTGAGGCCAGGAGTTTGAGACCTCATCTCTACCAAAAATAAAGAAAATTAGCCAGGTGTGGTGGCATACCTGTAGGCCCAGCTCCTCGGGAGGCTGAGGTGGGAGGATTGCTTGATCCTAGGTCGAGGCTACAGTGAGCCATGATCTCACACTGCACTCCAGCCTGGGTGACAGAGCAAGATCCTGTCTCAAAAAAAAAAAAAAAAAAAGAGAGAAAACTCTCAAGAGGAGTGAATCCCTCCGCAGTGCTGACTCCTGAGGCCACTCAGCCCTGATTGCCCAGCTGTGGGAATCCCATGCTGGCAGCTGCAGCCGCCGCCAGCAGAGTCCTGTAGATGACCCCTTCTTGTTCTCTGCTCCCAGCAGACGCAATAGCTCCTTTTAATTTCCTGTAGCACAGCAAAGAATAAGACTGGATCATTTAACAGGATTCTTCAGTGGCTCAGGATAGCGAAACAAAAAGCAACCTTAAACCAGATTAACAAGGCTCACCAGGTCCAGGCCACTTCCTTCCAGCAGAAGGAATGGAACAGCGGTTCTGCCCTCTCTTTGGCAGGGCCTGTGAACTCCAGTCCCTCTCGCCCTTCTCACCAGGTCCTTTAGATTCTCCCAGGGCTTTCTGAGCCGCTGCTCTCACCACCTTTTCCTGGCCAGTTCACCTCTGACTTACCTGGAGCTGCAGACCGAGTGCTGCAGCCAATTGTTCAGCCTGTTCCTAATGCTGCCCTCAGCCTCAAAGCCCATTTCCCTCACAGGGCGTGGCAAACACCATCCCTGGAGGAGGGGCTGAGAAATACCAGTGCCAGGCTAAAATATGATATAATCACATGGGCAGAAGAAATTAGGCCACTCAGAGAGCCCAGACAACGGAAAACTGTAGCAATGGCACACTGCTAAAACCAGGGAGGCCATTCAAAGAGTGAGTTCTCCCCAGCAGAGCTCACTGTGCACGGCCACTTGGATGGAGCAGCAGCTGCCGCAGCTCAAAGCTCACATGATCAGGCGCTCCACATTCTCCTGTGGACTTCAGAGAAATAACCAAAGTGTGTAGAAGCTGGAAGCGTGGGGAGGCACGAAGGACCAAGACATTGATACAACCTAAAGAAGAGACGGGACAAGTGTTCCGGTTTTTCTTTTAATTATTTACCAGATAAAAAAGAAAAAAAAATAGTGATTGTTTCTCTTCACCCCCAACATTTCCGTTTACCAAGGTCGAGTTGGAGAGAAATTCATTGAACAATGATTTGTGCTCCTGGCCTGGAGCAAATTCTTCTCCTCTGCTCTACGCCACCTCAGGCAGCAGGGACAGGGCAAAGGGCTCCAGGCAGAAATCCTGGCGGCTGGGCAGCGGAGTGGCATTGTGGCTATCGTTTCTTCTCACCGTTGCCAGAGCATTCAGACCCTTTCCCGTCTATCCCCCTACCCCGCCCTGCCCCGTCCCTCAGAGGAGGCAGGGAGCGGGGACTGCAGGAAGCAGGACAGGTGCACGGGTGGCCCAGGTAGCTCCCGGCAGATCTGGCAGAAGGCACAGCCCCTGCTTCTATTGCACATCCTGGCTCAGCTCCCCTGCCCCGAGCAGTAGGCCACAAAGTGAAACGCTTTCCAAATTCACAGAGCCCGGTGCTGTGCGCCAGGCTCAAGGAGGGGAGGTGTGTTGTTGTGTGGCTTGTTCTGGAAGATAGGTATGTATTTTTAAGTTATCCCATGATGGGGCCAAGGCAACAGTTTCGCCTCTTTAGAAAAGTATAAGGGGTCTGGACATCTCGGGGTCCTGTAGTGACTGGGCCTCTTCCCAGGCGAGTGCAGAGGCCTCGGGAGAAGCTTTCCCCCCACCAGCGGACCTCCTGCTGCATCGGATGAAGAGGCAGCGCCCACCGGCCACACCAGCCCCTCTGGACTGTCATGGCTCTGGGCCACTTGGGGCGACCTCCTTCTCTGAACACCTGGAGAATTCTGACGAATGACCCTAGAGAAAAACCTTTTACACTACATGTTTCTCCATGAAATGGCAGCTAAGTCCCCTCAAATAAAACCTTGAAGTGTTTCATTCTCATTCTTCTCTTACCAGTGAAATCAAGTGGGGCAGAGTAAGTTATTTAACTGACATTAGCGAGAGGATAAACCCCTCTAAAAAAACCACAGGGGGAAGTGGGAACTGATTCAGATTTGGCAAAACTGCAAATCTTTCCCCTTCATAGGCTGGAACGAAGCTGGTGGGTGAAGACAAACTAAGTGTGCCAATGGCAAGAACTGCAGGCTATGAAATGACGGGTCAGACACAGGACTGTATAAATTGTGGCACTATAAAGATGAGAAGGCAGGTCCATAATACAGCTGGGAGCAAGCCTTTGGAGCATCGCTTCCAGAAATTCTATCTGTCCTGTAGTAAGTAGTAGCATCCAGATAAATCAGTAGTTCTCCTTCCTCCTCTTCCAAACACATTCTGAGAGTTTCTTGTTTAAATAACTATGTACACACCCAGCAAGCCTGGTCTCTCTTTTACATGAGGGTCCTTCACTTGAGGGTCCTACAATGGCTTTAGAGTCGGTTCCAATTGCCTTTTCGGAGATTTACCGGTTGGGACCAAACCTGCAAGGCAAAGAAATGACTGAACACTATAACAGGAAAATCTTGAAGATGAAGGCATTCCAGTGTTTATGAGACTGAGTCTTAATATAAACAAACCCTCAACTCCCTATAGGGCTCTGGTACTCTGGCAAATTGAGTAATTGGGCTTGGGCCCATCAACTCTGTCAGCCAGGAGGCCACATGCCCGCCTGAGGCCTTGGAAAACAGCTCCATACCTCCCTCTGATAAGGACAGTTTCTCAAGTTCAGCTTCAAGTTCAGCATCTGAAATCCTAGGGTTAGGCACACTGTTGGTAAAATGCCTATTGCGGGGGTTGTCAGGCAGATCCAAAGGTTCTTTGGTGGTATCCTGAAGGAGGATGTCCAATTCCTTCTCCAGTTCTTCACTGTCAAAATCTGGAAATTAAAGAGAACATAAAGATGCATAAACTCCAGGGAGAAATGCATTAATGAGTACAGGACTGAGGTTACCAAAACTCCGCTTAGCTTTTCAAAAGATGCCAGGCCTCCTTGCAAATTAAAAAAAAATCCTGGAAGTCAGGAAACTGAGGGTAGCTTCAAGCAGAGACGCTTCTTCCAGACTCAGAGTTAAGTCACCAAGGAGGTGTGTTCTGTTAACCCCATGGACCTGACCCTGATTCCCCTTGCCCTTGAAGGAGGATCCTCCAGTTGGAAGCCTTGTGAATGAGGAATGCTGGAGCACAGATGGGTCATGAGCACAGCTGTCAAGGAGGAAATGGCAATTCCCTGATTGCTCCTGCAGATGGGCCCCAGGGAGGGCAGGCTAGGAGAGGCCTGCCTGCAGCCGGAAAAGCAAATCTACCCTCAAACTCATCACAGCACAGGGAAGCGAAGTCTTCCAGGATGAAAAGAAGAAACAATTGCTTTGGGCTGGGCACGGTGGCTCATGCCTGTAATCCCAGCACTTCGGGAGGCGGAGGCAGGCGGATCACGAGGTCAGGAGTTCGAGACCAGCCTGACCAACATGGTGAAACCCCATCTCTACTAAAAATACAAAAATTAGCCCGGCGTGGTGGTATGCGCCTATAATCCCAGCTACTCAGGAGGCTGAGACAGGAGAATCGCTTGAACCCAGGAGGCGGAGGTTGCAGTGAGCCGAGAATGTGTCACTGCACTCCAGCCTAGGTGACAGAGTGAGACGCCATCTAAAAATAAATAAATAAATAAATAAATAAAAATAACCACCGTGTCCACTCACCTAAGCCATTGGTTACCCCACCAGCCAGAGTCTGAGAAACTTCATCCTGGGTGTCACAGAGCTGTAAGAGACAAGTGCAAAGCCCTGAGTTGGGCATGGTGGCTCTGAGCATCTCAGTCTTCGGTAGAAAATATCTAGGGTGACAAAGCAATCCTGCCCCAAATGAGAATCAAGGAAACCTGCCTCAAGTTCACAAGGTCACAAGTCAAGTGTCATTAAAGAGGATGTGCAATGAAGTCAAATCTGTCCTCTGTCATTTCCTTCTCTGTGTGTCCCTCCCTGGCCCCTTTCTGTACCTCTTGGATCTGATCCACAAGGCTCTCTGCCTTCTCCACTGTGACATCCTTCATGGAGAGTTTGAGTGCTCCCACCCCAGCCTGGTAGGCATTAAAAACCTAAAGACAAAGCAAAGCTATCAGTGCATATGATAGACATTTGGCAAAATACATACAATATTGTTTCAACTCCAAAAGGCAGCTTTGGGGTTTTTTTGGCACCCAAGTTCAATATACCCTATACCCACTGAGGCCAAACCTCCTGACTGGAAAGGCAAAGGCAACCCCAGCTACATCCCGAAAGAACCCAGGGATTCTCCAAACAGCAAAGCCGAAGCTGCAAGTGACCAACACCCACGGAGAGACCAGCTGAGCGCTGGAGTAGGGGGCAATGGCTACCATTTGATCTGTCTGGGAGGCATAGATCCGGTCCAGGATGCCTTGAACAGTGTCCAGCTTGGCATGCAAGGCCTCGATGCGCTTCTCTGTCCGTTGCTTGGCCTTGAGAGACCTCAGTGCCTGGGGGGCATGGAGACTTAGGTCAGTGCTGAACTGGGCAAGCCAAAGGGCAAGAGGAAGACAGCCCTTCCCAGACGCTAAGGCTGTCCCAGCCTTCTTCCCTCCGGTCTGTAAAATAAGCTGTGGTGCCTGGGCCCCTGCAGACTCTGTCCCCCTCAAAACCCCAGCGGGCTGCTCTCCGAACTGCTGGGCATCGCTTCAGGCCTGCCTGGGGCACTGCTATGGGGCTGGAGGAGACAAGAACTCACCAGCTGCTTCTTTCCTGCTCGGCATGCTCGGCGGGCTTCTTCTTTACACCTAGAAACAGAGGGACAGATAAGATGACTGTGTCACAGGACAGGAGGGGTAGGGTCTCAAAGGGTCCCTGAGAGCAGCACTCAGTCAAGGTGGTTTTAAATCTGTTAAGACTAAATCCACTCTGCCCAGTGGCAAGAAAAATGATGCTGACGGTCAAAAACTCTTGTGGCAAGTCAACAGGCAGCTCAAGCAGGCTGACTGAGGACAAGCTTTTTCAACCCAC